TTTCACATAATCAATTCTAGAAGACAGATCAGTTTTTTATGTCACAAATAATAACTTATAAGAAAAAAAGCAATCTTTGTCATAAAAGTAAATGATAAATTATGCCATTACTAGGGTAAGCAGCATATCCTCTCCCTTTTTCTCAGTTAAAATGATTGCCAAGTGCTTGTCTGTGTCTAAGCCTACTCTAATTACAACTATATTTATTTGACATCTCGATGCATGGTTGTAAAAACACTTGAGCAAGCCTAGGTGATAGCACAACTAGTTGCCCTAGTCATTACCCAATGTACAAATCATACAAGTACTAACATGTTATACATACTATATGTGGCACTCATGCTAAATCATGCACTAGCTGTACATACCCAATAATATGCAGTGAGGCCTAATAATAAGATAAGTCCTAATAAAAGTTGTCTCACCAACAAATACGGAGGAAGAAGGAAACAGGAGTCACTACTTCAGAATCAAGAACGAAGGGAAAAAAAATAATAAACAAGTATATCATGGATATATAACCAAGAAATGAAAATCTGTCAGAGCAACTGCAAAATACAATTTGTAGCCCCAAAATGAACCAGTAAAACAACATTAACTCATGTCAGAAAGACAACACTAGCGATGTTATTATTCGAAGATCCACTGTGAACACTAGAATACAGTGTGGGTAAAAGTAAACAAAAGGCTAGAGAACTACAAACAAGATTTCATACAAAAAGAACTTTTCCGCCCCATGACTTGTCCATGTAAGTGCGACTTTATATGCATGGCTATACACAAATTTCCACTGAGCGAGCTTTAACTTAGTTCAACTCAGTAACCTAACCTTAACCACAACCACCTGAGACTGGCAACATGGTCTGTTTTTTGTTGTACTGTGTGGGGACTCTTGAGCCAAAATCATGTCCTCAAGGCAATCACATAACATACATACAAACAAAAGACATAAGATATGCCTTCCACATATAAAGCCATCAAGATTTATCCCATCTAATCCACTACATCAATATTACAACTAAATGCCCTGTGTCCAGAGAACCTTTACTCTAGATTTAGTGGCTTCATACTCCTAAAATACAGCTCTACCATGGAGTTGTGATGTTCCCATGCATATGAGGTTGTTGCTAATGTCTTAGCACATGATCATTCCATGACCTTTGACTTTAACGTGACAACCATGCTCAATTATGCTCTATTGTCATGACATCATAACCTTGGCAATGGTACTTTTCAAACAACACCATTGTCTCCACATGAGGCATAACCCCTCATATTCCTCACTCGAAACAAATGTCAGGAAAAATGTGCATAAATGCTAATAGGCTTCACCTTGTTCTCTCCCATGATCTCCTTGTTCAAGACTCCAAGCATTCAAGCCAAGTCTTCAATGGTGGTTACAAGGACACAGACAATGCCTCCTTAGTGCATTATCCTTATCCACATTCCAGATTTCATTGGTGGTAGCCCGTATCATGCCAACTTTAATTCCATCACCAATGGCGGGAAATCCTCAAACTCCTCTCTGCCTTGTGCATCAATCTGTGTCGAACAAGAAGCAAGCAAACCATAGCTTATGTAGCATCAGCTACAGAAATATCAAGCTTTATCTACCATTCCTTGTGAGGTAACAATCACACTTGTACCACTTAGGCGTAACATCCTTCATTCTCTATCAAAAAACATAAGGCCCCACAAGAGTGTTAGAAGTTGTGACCATTGCTTCCTTGTTCCACTTGATTGACTCCCCAGCTTCTGTCTCATTAATTCCTACTTGTGCAACCAATCATTACTTCCATCTGTCAGCCTTGACAAACACCTAACAAGTAGGATCGTACCCAGTACAAGCGCTCATGTTTTGGCATCTACTCAATCACTTGCCCACTCACTCACGCCCAATAACCCACTGCCTTCTTGAACTTATGCTTGGCTAAGTCAGGAGCCACCAGCCCAATTCTTACCACTCCTACCCCTAGGGACATGGAATTAGTTGTCACAGTCTAAAGTCCCTGACTGATCAATTCAATGGTTAGGGACAAAAAGTAACCTGAGGCCTTGCGGGAATTGTCAACCCCTCCCAAAAGGATAAGTGGGCAAAATATACACACAAAAGTGCACAAGAATCTCGGAAAATGTAGGGACTTCCAAAACCACCAGCCCAATTGCTACCACTCATATCCCTCCCCTAGAGACAACCTACTATGGCATTAGATGTCACGGGTCTACAGTAGCCCTAACTGATCAATTCAATGTTTAGGGACAAAAAGTAACCAAAGGACTTGCGGGGACTGTCTACCCCTCCCAAACACACAAAAGTACACAAGAGCCTAGGAAAATGTAGGGACTTCCAAAACCAACACTCAGATGTAAAATGCTATAATTGGTGCAACCCTCACTCACCATGACACCCAAGCTCCCACTTCATAGGTCAGCATATCGCAAAACCACCTCCTCAACTAAGGCTGAGCACCAAGACACATATCTACACCTACTGACCATGGCCAATAGATCTTTACAACATTAGAGAACTACTAACACATTGCTGTGCAACAGAAATATCTTCTATATAAATATTAGCCAGTACCAGTAATCAGCTAACTTACAAGCATGTAATAAATCAAGATTGCTTATTGTTGATAAAGGGAACTTTCACTTAAGATGCTTTCATTATCTTCAATGTAATTAATATTCCAAATTGTTTAATAAGGGATTCAACTATTACACTCTTGCATAAAATCAAAAGTCACCAAATTCTGCAGCCACTAAAAGGTTAGATCCAGTTTGAAATGTGGCATCTTGTTTAGAAATTTCAAAGATTATTTACAGAACTTGTAAAATGCAGGTTACGCTGTCTATCACTCGATGTACGATGACTTTGTATGGATGATGAAATTCGGTGACCCTATGTTTCATAGGCATGTAGCAGGTATGTTTTATTTCTTTTTTCCTAATGACAGCATCCAAAACAGTTAAAGATCTCCATGACCAAAAAAAAAAAAAAAAGTTACTTGTGGATTTGAAAGATTACATCATGCTAAGATACGAAGTTCAAGGCATTTTATATTGTTACTTACAAACAAAAGAACACTGGTTTACTTGCTCAATATCAATTATTTCTGTTTTCCTTGTGAAGCACGTTTGCTAAAATGAGTAGTTGCACATCTGATTTTATCAATTGACGAAGTCTGAGTTTTATAAATTGTTCGCAACAATTATTACTATATAGTATGGTTATATGACTATTTATTAACGAAAACAGTGGCAAATGTTTGGGGTTTAGTAGCTCTTCGGCTTGCAGATGAGGAATTTTTGCCTTTCAATTACCTCTCCTACGTTAACGAGCTCCAGGTATGTCTATGGAAATTGGGATGCATCCTAAAATAGTGCATGCGAATTCTATTTGGTGTTCAGTGGCAAAGTAAATGCAACATAATGATCAAAATCCCTGAAAACAGAAAAGCACAGAAGACTTAAAAGGTGATGTATCAGATAAAGGAATAAGCCTTATTCCCTTGTTTAAGTCCATAGAAGAGCTAAAAAAAGCAGCCACCAATATAAATAAGCAGAGAAAGGTATTGCTCAAGTTTCTAACTTTCTATTATTTTTAGATATCATGTCTTATATTGTATCAAATGAAAAAAATTTAACTTTCCAGGCGATAGAAGAAAATAAAGGTTGGGCATCGATGTGGAAAAATGACCCTTGGAAAGTGAGGGAATTGAATGATAGACTAATGATGGCAGAGCGAGCATTCACAGACAGAGATGGACTCACTGGAAGGCCATGGTATAAGCATTTGGTATGTTTCCCACTAAACAACAAGTGATTCCTCGTTGAAGTAAATGCAACTATTCCTTTGTTTCTTTCTCATACATCTCTAAAAAAGGTAAGATATAACTTGCCACTCCTATATATAAGCCTAAATAAACGCTCAGCACAATACTTCATTGATGTCTATGTGACTGTTCTTTTGTTACCTTCAGATCATATTCCCAACAAAAGGTGAGACAAAACTTGCTAGCTCTATATGAAAACTAATTAGAAAAGAAAAACAAAGCAGATTCTACCCAACATATATTATTACAATATGGTAGTTTATATAAATGGACCATATCTAACTACAAATTTGCCTCTCTCAGATTTATGCACCATCAAAGCACAACGATTATGGATCTACATCCTTCCCTGGAATAGGTGATGCCATAGAAAAAGCTAACAATCTGGACACTGCAGAGTCCTGGCTTTCCGTACAACACGAAGTTTGGAGAGTATCTAGGGCTGTCACACATGTATCGCTAGTCCTCAATGGTGAATTAACATGAATATGTGCGACAAAATCCTACATGTAGTTCATGCTTTTCATTTTAAAAGTTGAAGGAGTCAAGTATCCTACATGTTTCTAAATTCTGGTCTTACAATTTCTGCTGGAAACTTTTGATTTAGATCATCACTGTGTCCAAATTCCAACAATTCAATAGTAGCAAAAGAAAGTTGCAGGCACATTCTCCATCATAGGCTGAATATGTGACTCCCCTGGATTGAATTAAATATTTGGAATCCTGATTAAAGATCACATATTAATAATTTAAGAGTACAATCTGATTGAAAAAGTGATACTATTAAAGGGAAATATTAATGTATACCACCATGTAAGGCTTGTAAAAAATTAAACTCAACAGATCAACCAAATTTTGAGAAAGGTGGTCAAGTTTTCTTACCATTGGCCCAACTATGAGGGGACAAAGGTTTTTCAAATGAAAGATTTTCTACCAACTCCACCTATTCCTAATATAAGCCTCTGTTTTGGAAGCCCTCCTTGTACTAGAGGGATCATCAAGCACCATGATATGAGTATATCGGTCAGACAAACTATGACTTGGATGATTTCCACATTTAAATAATTTCTAAATATGCGACTATAACAGACAAACCATGTTACCTAGAGGCATCACCCCAATTGAAATTGCACGTGCAAATGCAAAATCATAGAGAACTCATAATGGAAATAAAGTAAAATTTGACATTCAAACAATATAAAATCTTATTTATCCCAGTATGCTTACTGTACAAATCAGGCACGGTGATGTATTAGAAACTATGACGGTGGTTAGAAAGTTGAATTCATTATCTGGGTGGGAATTTCCCCTTCTACTCTTACTGTATAATTTACAATTTTAACTAGCATTGACACTACATATGTACAGTAAATCACTAGTATGCTTAGGTCCTTTACTTCCAAACCTTGATAGCGCCATCTCTCCCACTGGATATCAGAAGTCTCTGGTTCAATTTGACAGAAGCCAAAGAAAGGACGGAGTCACGGTGACAACCAGCAGAATCAGTGGCAGCAGCTGCAAGGACTGACTTTGTGGTCAACTTGTTTGCTAGAGGCCGTCTCCTTGTCTCCTGTTAAACAGAAGGGGAACACTTTAATTTCAGTCCTACATACTCTAATCCCATGGGGTCCAGCAAATTACAAGATTTTCAGTTACCAGATAAAAAGATACATATGATAAAATTTCAGGGAAAAAGAAGAAAGAGTGACCGTTTCAGAGCTCTTATCAGAAAATCACTTAGTTAAAAGTACAAAATGTCAGTTTCAAAGTTCATATAAGAAATCACTAGGGTCAAAAGAACAAATTAGAGTTGATGGAATTCTACATAGAAAAGGAATTTCTTGTCAATTGTGCTTTGGAGTAATGAATCTAATCCATGATTTTCTGGACCAATAACTTCTTGAATATAGAAAATCAAAATAGAAAAGAGAGCATGGATTATGAGACGACTGATCTCTAGTTGGGCTATAGTGCATGACAACCTACTTTTCCATTAAATATAAAAAGAGAAAAAAGAAAATCTACCACTGCAGCAAGTTCTCTGACCAAAAACTTATTATTCAGACACCAGGTCCACTTTTATGCAACAACTCTTTGATTACAAACATCTATGCACCAGGCATAAAATAAAAAGAAACAAGGGTGAAAAAGAAAAAGGAAAAAGGCAAAGTCCCTTGACCAATTACCAAAAGTATAGTTGAATATGCCCAAATTATTTAATGCAATTTTACTCATTTATTTTGGCAGAAAACTCAGATTGAAATACACCCACTTCCCAAAGTAATTTCATCAGTTTTGGACTCTCCGTTGTTTTGTAACCTACTAAATACAAAATGTCCTACCATCTTACCATCCCACCATCAGCAGAAAGAAAAAATTAAGAAATCCTTTAAAATATTTGAAATACCTGGACAACTTGCACTCCAAAACTAGATTTTGTTTCATAGAAATCATCATTTCCAACTCCTTTAATAGATGGCCCACAAATACAGTAACTTCGGTCAGGTCTGCAGTACGGAAAAACCAGGGTTGATTAGATAAAAGAATGATCATAAGAGAACCAAATGAGCAGAAAGGGAGAAAAACCAAAACCTGCAGTGGTCCCAGCGACGTATCTTCAAGTCGGTACCACCAGTCAACAGATCTCCCCCAGGTAAGGGGAGCAATGAACGGATACCAGGAAGACGGGAAGGAGGTTCATTCAGCTCATCAACTCTGTACTTAGGGTTGACATTCTGTCTTAGATCTGGTTTAGAATTTGCCTTTCTGGATGATCTGGCCAAGGCCCAAGGCAGGTCAGAGGATTCAGCATCACTATCATTATTTGCCACCCTAAAAACCTGCAAACAATATAATACAATGCAAGAATGAATCATCCAGGTAGAAATCTGTATGAACTAATTAAAGACTATTAATAACACAAAGACCTCGTCTTAAATATTTTGAATCACTTAATAGAGTTTATTTCATAAATTACACAACTCGTCCTCATCACTGGCTCACTCAAGACAAGAAGTGTTCTGAATTAATAAATTATTAATCATTTGTCTATTCCCTATTTAAGTATCTCTATAGTCAACAACTTGATACATTATTTTTAAAATCAATAATACAGCCTGTTGCTAAAAAAGCAGGCATTCACTTCATACTGGGTCATCATTGGCCATCATTGTGCATTTCCAGGCCATATCAGATGGCTCTACCCCATTTTATCACCTTATGGGATTATGATATTTCTAGTTTATCAAATGTTATCAATATTGACTTTCTATGAACAATAACCAAAAACATCCACGTACCTGGTGGCAGCTCCCGTTTTCTGCATTCCAAAGAGAAACTTCATTACAACCTGCTGCAACGTAAACAAGGGGCCGTGCTGTAGTGGAAACAGAGTTATTCTGAGGAGGAACAAAAAGACACATTTTCTCTATCGGGCATACAGCAGAATACTGCCATGAATTAACAGGTACAAGGAATCTTAGATCCCAAAGAGTCAGCACACCCCTTGAAGAACCAGAAACAAACCAATTCCCACAAGGGCCAGTTACCAGAGAAGACACATAGCCCTCCTCGGGAGTTACTTTCGAATTCCACGAATTTGAATTTGTTCTGATATCCCAGAGATGGATCCCACAATTTTTGGTGCTGTACATAATCATCTGATTGGCAAAGCCATCCTCAGAGTAGTTCAAAAGGCTGAGTATGGCACCTTCTCCAACACTCTTCTTTTTTACATCAGCAATGCCTGAGTACTTCTCAACAACATTCCCAAGTCCTCTGGAAATGTAATCAACAGAAAAAATATGTATCATGCCGTCACAGTCTCCAATGATGACTTGAGCTGAGCCCTGGAGTGTCGCAATGCACAGTGCTCGGCTTCCCTCAAGAGAATAAGTTAGCCTTGACCTAAATGAGATATCCTTCTCCAGCTTTCTGGAATCCCACACCTTAACAGTGGAATCATCAGATGCACTCACAAAAAAGCTATGGTCTGTGGAAATGGCAATGTCATTAACAGCAGAACGGTGCTCCTGGAGGTGTGCAACCAACACCCCACGTGGCCTCCACCCTGAATCAAGAACCGATGCTCGTCCAAATGATGGCAATCCCGCTGCATCAGTTGGAGTGGAGGCATCTTCTGCTGTAATAGAACTTTTTGTTGTGCTTGACAATCCTAGGTCTTGAAACTTGTTGTTGATATATGCTGTTTGATCAGCTTCCCTGCCTTCTGCTTCATGTACCACCCTGTGAAACTGTTTAGAACCACTACTAATGCTAAATGAGTCGGACACCAGCTTAGGTGCTGGGACTGAACTAGCCATGCTAAAGGATTTATTTACGGGATCCATCCAAGGCATGGATGATGAACCAAATCCAAGAGAGTTCAAATGAGACGGAGAATCAGATGCAGCAGGAGCATTTGCCACTGCTCGTTTATCCACGCTAAAGTAGTACAAAGGTATGCCTTCAGATGATTTATCATAAATGAAGCTGTTCACACCACTAGCCTGTGGACACATCAATCCAGAGAACTGTAACTTTTCTGAGCCTAGAGGATCATGAATATCAAATGTGCTAGAAGCATTGCGCATAAAGGTTCCCATGGTACTCATCTTAGCATCCCCATCATCACGCTTAGCTAGATCCAGCTGTTGCATTGAATCAACAACAGATTTGTGACCCTGAAGATCATGTTGCTTGTCAGACCAGCCTTTTGTTGTTTTCAACTCCCCAGCTCCACTATGGTACAAGTCCAAAGGTTGCCATTGTTTGGACTGTGCTGATGAATTGTACCATATTTTCCTCTGTCTCTCTAACATATCTGAACTCCTGGCATTTTCTAGGACTTGGTAAAACACCTGTCTCGAGACCGGAGGCTTTAGACATGAAAGAAGAGCCTTTTCTGAAGCTAGAGACCCAGGTTGTCTGCGGAGAAAAGGACGTATAACTGGGACAAGGAACACATAAGAATCTACTGCACCTAAGCTCTCACTACTGGCTGCAATAAAGTTGACAACTGACCTCCTTACCCATTGACTGGGATAACATAACAACAGAAAAGCGCGCTCTATCATTTCAAGAAGTATCCTCTTCCGCAGAAAACCACTTTTGCACAGAAAGGCCAAGCAATCCAATGCATTTACAATTACAGCCTCTGATGCATCACTTAAAGCTTGCTCAATGTATGGTAAGAGATATTCCTCGACACTTCTTTGACCCACAAAGAAGCAGACGTAAACAATCTGCCCATAAAATACTGCCCTTAATTGCTCATCTCGATCATTTAGAAAAGCAGGGAGGATGGGCAATAAGAAGTCATTACTCTGTCTCTGGCCAAAAAACCAGCATAGGTTGCCAATATCCTGCAAGAGTGCCCTCCTGATATTTGGAGTTTGCTTTGGGCCCATTACAAGTTCTTGAATTACTTCAGCTATGGACTTCCTCAATTGTGCAAGCTGTGCATCATCGTTTACTCTCTGCAGCCGTCCGGGTGTCTCAGTGGATGAGACTGATGACTTCTGGTGCGAACTTAATTCATTGAGAACCCCTGCCTCACTCAAGCTTATTGAGTGAATTAGAAACCCATAAGCAGTTAATGCCAGTTTAGATATATTGCTGGCATAACATATCCTCACACTTTCTTCTGGATCATCAGGAAGCATGGAAAGCATTGGAATAATATACTCTGGAAAAATTTTCGCATCACTGGGAGGAAAATCTCGGACTAAAGGTAGAATGTCACACAAAGTTTCCAAGGCAGCACAACGCACAATTGCTGCTGGATCAGAAAGCATCGCAACAACATATGGAAGTACACGCTGCAATCGATCTTCATCATCAATATATAAGGAACAAGACTTCAGCAGAAGTACAGCACCCCTCCTCATATGAGGCAACTTAACATTGCGTATGCACGAACAAAGCAGTGAAGCAATCAGAACCATGCCTTCACAGCTCATAGTATCCTGAGGTAATGGTAGGAAAGGCATTCCAAAAGTGTCCGACTGATTGTCATAGTCAGACATCAAAGAATTTAATTCGTTCAACGTAATCCTTTTCATAAAGGGATGGTGATTTCTCTTGAATACATTGGAGATAGTTTGAAGTAGCTCGCCAGGAGATTGCATGCCACATTGTTTGCGCTTTTGAGAATATGCAGAATTGGCTACATCCTCCAGCATCGGCTTCACACGAGAATAGCGACTACTTCGTTTTACATCCCTGAGTAGAGTACTGATATCACCAAGAAGTTCAAGCCGATCGTGAATTAGACCCTTCTCTGCCTCTTCACTCTTTCTTGGTGAGCCCTTTGCCGGATTCAATCTCTTCTTTGTGTCCACATTATGTGACAAATGACCGCCTAAAGCATTTGAAGGTGTGCCTAGAGCAACACCAGTCTCCTCATTTGGCCTATTGTTCATCATTTGTTTAAGTATCTCCTGGAAAAGAGTCTGGCACATTAAAACCTACAACAGAAAAATAGGACAGCAAACAGTTAATGTACGAGTCAAAGCTAACCAATTCTTAAAAGATTAAAATATCAAAGTTCTTTACCCTTGTATCAGAATCAAGAGGATTCAGATAGGAATAATAATTGTGCAGAAATGGCGAGAAGTAGCACGGAAACACAATGCCAGCATAGCTCTGCAGGTAGTTTTCAGCAGAAAATCGTGACCCTGGATCCAACTGAATCATATGAAGAATCATCCTACGGATTCCTGAATCTGGAATCTGCACTCATAAAGCATGCTATTCAACAATGTAATCCATAAGCAAGAATAATAGTCAAGGACAAAAGCTGAAAATAAACTTAAAAGAAAAATTCTAGGAGAAATATCACATCAACAGCATTCATCTTCTAACGTCAACCTGCTCTGAGAATTGATAATAAAATTACCAGTATAGAGTGATTTCAAATTTTCAATCAAATCAAAGGTAATAGAAAAACATGAGGAGATCAAAATAATAATAATAATAAGGCTAAGGCAAAAAGGAATCAATATAGCATTAGAAAGAATACCTTCTCAAGATGTTGGCTAGGATCATACTGCCCTCTACGATAAGCAAGTAGCTGAGACAGTTCAAACAGTGGCTGACCCTCAAGGAAAAGCTCCGCAATTACACACCTGAAGCATTGACCAGATGAGTGCAGACAAATATATATATATATATATATATATATATATATATTTATACAAACAAACAAACACACATATATTATGTGTGTTAACAATGTCATGGGAGAAAGAAAAATGAATGGCTCTGGAAACCAAACCTCACATGATGCACCAATGACTTATTCACGCTTATTCCAGAATACTAAACAAAAATCCAGTGAGATGTAAAACACTATACCTCACACCAACACACCTCATCAATAAAGTAATATGGATTCAGCTGGATGAGAGATAGTAACAATAATTGTATCCCAAAACACTTGTTTCAGTTCCACATGGGCAGTTTCTAGATAACTCGGATGATATTTCAATGGAGAATTGATAAAATGGAACGTCGTTTGATTCTTGTGATATATTAATTCCACGGAAGTCAATGTAGTATAGTGGTTAGTATTCCCACATGTCACGAGGGCACTCGGTTTCAATCCTGGCCAACGGTGTTTATTATGTGTTTGAACACTGCCTATGTCATGCATAGTGTGTTTGTTATATTGTTATCCTTACACAAGATTTCCCAAAGTCTGAAAAAAGGAAGAAGGTTGCATTAGGTAGCTAACAATCAATGCATATCCTTTTGTTAGGCCAAAGGAATCAGCCACATACTTTATTGGTTAAAACAACTACGAAATAACATGTTCATAATTTGAGCTTATCAAACAAAACTAAAGATGTGGTAAGGAAAAAAGGAGGGGTGGAGATAAAATTAGAATTGAATATATTCATGGAACAGTTGGAGTACTCATTTGGAGATGAAATAAGAGAAAATTGAATTAAAAGGTTTGATCATGCGCAGCAAAAACCACTGAGACACTAACTGCATGTGGTCAACATTAAGGAATAGGAGATCCTTCGAGGGAGAGGAAAATCCTATTAGTGTGCTTAAATTCTCTACCCTTAACACTATATTTTTTTGGATATGGGGGAGAAATTGTAAATCTATAGGAGAAATAGACGACTTTTTGGATATTTTTTAGTGTTTGAGGACCCTATTTGGCCTTTGTGTAGTTCTAGGGATGCGCTCCCCTTTTGAGCGTTGTCTTTAATATCTTCTCTTTTTTTGTGGATAAGCAGCGCCGTCTATAATATCTTACTTATCAAAAAACAAAGCATTGAGGATCATGATAGGGAAGGCAAAGAGCAAAATGAACATAGTCGAGCTGATATGAAAATATATGAGTGTGCCTTTGAGTAGAATGACTAAATAGGAGTCATGTAGCCAATCCCAAATAGTTGGGACAAGGCTTTTTTGTTGTTGTTATTGAATTCCATCGAACTATTGGAATCAGTGGTGATACTGGATTTGGTGAGGCTAGGGTGCAACTTAGGCAGCCCAACCTGATTTTTCAGACTTGGACAATTATTTCTGTAGTTAAAGTTGGGCTTGAGCTGAAAATTTTCAACCCGGACTTGGTTAGGGTTGGGCTCGGTTTGAAGCCCGAAATTACACATGACTTTTATATATTTATAATTTAAAAAAATATATGTATAATTATAATCATGGTCAATCTTTTTTCTTTCAATTTCTTTTTTTTTTTAAATATTGATTTATTATATATTAATCCTTTGAAAAATAAATTTTGAGAATTTGTTTAGACTTTTTTATATATATTTACATTTAGTTTTGGACCAGCCTAAAGCTCAACCTGATTTTTCTAACCTAAGTTCAAAATTTTGAGCATCGGTTGAGCTTAGGTTGGGAAGCTTGGGTTGAAGGTCAGGTTGGGTTGGACTTGATTTGAAGGTTTTATGCCTTGGATTGAACATGAGTTGACCCTTAAACCCACCCGAGTTACACCCTTAGTAGAGACAAAAACATAAACATGGCAGTGCGCCAGTAGATTGGTGGTGGAAGGAGTGATGAAAATGTGATGATGTCAAATAACGTGGTAGTTTAGTGGTGGTAGGCAAAACATTGTTGTTCAAAATTTTTTTTCCTTTTTCGTTAGAGTTTATAAGGTGGAATTTTTTTTCTTTTTTTATAAGTAATTCCTTTTTTGTTACAGTATACATTGCAATTTTATTTGTCATAAGCATATAATAATTTAATCAAAAGTCTTGGCCAGGCTGCACTAAAATTCTTGACTTGCTGGAAGCGAAAGTAAAATATAGCATGTGGTTGGGTTGATGACTAAGATTCACTCATTTTAACAATATATACATACATTTTTTCCCCTATGTTGGTGTTCATATTAATACATTAATCAAGACACTCGTAATTTTGGGATCTCAACATCTCAGTTGACATCAACAATCATAAATAAAAATTTCCCTTTTTGGATAAGGATTTTCATGTCAAAAGATGCTCACCCTACAGCGAAGATGTCCATAGATGGTCTTAAAGGTGCATCTTGTGCAACTTGCATCTCACCACCTCCATGCTCATAGAATCTCTGAAAATCAATAAACCACTTACCTATTAGTTTTAATGATCATGATACTAGGAAAAATAAAAGTGTAATAATGTTGTTCACTGACAAAAATTATAAGCATGTGTAAATTGAGCAAATGAGATTTTCTCTTATTAGAGTCAATTAAATATTTATTTAATGACTTTAAAAATATATTTATTAAATAAACTACGATAAAAGTTAAAACAAATCCACACAACAGACAATAGATATTGTCCAAAACATCGTTTATTATTTATAAAGGCAACAAGTATAAATGTCTGACATATGTCCAGTATGGACTCCTCTGGAGAAGTATCTGTTCCACTTAGACCAAGTCCCCACACTGATGCAATTGTGGTCGTTAGAACTTATTGTATATTGGTAATTATTTCTCAATTAGTTGATTCACAATTAGCAATAAAATTCATCAAAATTTAGCTCAACTCAATGGTAAAAATTGAATTCATATTATTTATATTTTTTAGGTAAAGAATGCTTTGGAATTTGAAAGAGAGAATCTTTGATCAAACTCAATCAGTTCCAACACAAATTTAACATTTCGTTTAATAATTAAACCATTGCAACAGATAATAATCGGCAATCCAAAAATTTTAAGGTAAAATGGAACCAAACCTCAGGTGCAAGATAACAACGCCTTCTTCCTCCAGTGTCAAAGAAAAATGAGAAATCAGATGGATCGTCATGGGGAATATAAGTGGGTTTGAAGGATGCAAAATCAGCAAGGTAAAGCCAATTCCAAGAAGTCACAAGCACATTCTCACACTTAATATCACCTGCAACATTTCATGCAATTCTTTTTCACAAAAATCAACATGGTACTGCACGATGATGATAACCTAATGCCCTAAATCAGTAAACTCACCATGACAAACTCCATTCTCGTGGCTCTGTTTCACCGCATAGAGCAACTGCACACCCAACAGATGATGAAATGCTTTGTCAAACTATACTAACCCAAAATCTAATACTCACACATGCGCAAGCTCGCACACACGTAATAATGCACACAAGTACACTCATGGGCGCACACAGAGAGAGGGAGGGAGAGAGAGACCTGAAAAGCCAACCATTTCTTTTCAACAAGACTTAGGAAAGGCCGGGTACTCAATCTATCGTGAAGATTATTGAAGAAGTATTGCCTCAAGAGATAAGCTGCTTTATCTGTTTCAAGCCAAAACTGCAAAGATATACATTGTGAGAATTCTTCTTTCTTCTTCTTTTGGTAAGTAAGTTACTCAGGCAAACACCAAGTATTGTCTCTAAGAGGACTTGAGCCTTCAACCTTCCATTTGCAAGGAGGAATACATACCACTCGAGCTGAAGACTCAATACTACAAGAGAATATTCAAGAACTATCCTTCGGAAATAAGAAAATAAAATAACACAATTGAGTAATTATGATCCACTTTTATTCAGACAGATATCATTTTAATGCAGAGATAATGTTGGAAAGAAAATAAACCTCTCACTTTAGATGTTATATATTTATTTCATTGGGACCTAGAGACAAAAACACTCCACTAAACTGAACTAATTCAATGAATTTTTCAGTCAGTCAAGGAGGGTTTTCTTAAATTCTAATTTAATTTTTCCTTTTGTCTCATTGCTGAGATAAGTAAAGCTCGTAAACGAAAAGGGAATTAAAATTTTTGAAGCTCATGTTATTGATTTGGTTTCATTATAATCAATTATAACAGATGCATCAATTGTAATGGCTTTATTTTCTTCAATTTCCTTGTTTTTCCTACTTTTTCTCGTAAACCAACAGAGCATAGCAGATAACAATTGTCACTGAAATGCGAATCCAAACTCCAAGCGTTTTCTCATGAACCAAACAAACAAAATCGGATTTACGGATAATTACGACTATTACCACAGATTGAATATATAGAGTTGTGAATTGCGACCTGGAATGGCCAAACATGGGGATGATCAAGACCACGGAAGATCTCTCGTATTTGGGCGAGTCGACGCTCGTATTCCCGGAGATCAATCGAGTCGCCACGCTTGAAATAGACCTTCACGAGAACGAGTCCTTCGTCGTGCTTGCACTGAATCGATTTCAGAAATCGTCCTCGACCTAAAACCTCTTTGAGTACCAAATTGTAAGACGAAGGTAGGTCATGGAGGTAGTACTCGGTCGCCGAGGCTTGTGTTGTGCGAGCGATCTTGTTGCCCATACTCTTTCTCTCTCCCTCCCCCTCTCTCTATATGTATATGTTTCTCTCTCCTTCTCTCTCTATATATGTATATTTCTCTCTCCTTCTCTCTCTATAATACATGTGTTTCTCTCTCTCTACTCGGCGTTCTGTTTTCTCACATTCTTGTGATTTAGCTTTGCGGTTTTTCGCCCGCAAGGGGCGAAGAAGCCCAAGCAAAGCAAACCATCGACTCTCTCTGAAACAAAGGGTGTGTGAATTGGAGCCTTTGCTTTACGTATGAACTGGACTTGTGTACAATTTCGTCTTTACAGGTCGTTATGGTTGCCAATGGAATCGTGCCATGTCATTGAAATGGAGAGGCTTACCATACGCACAGTGGAGGACTCGGCATATGATGACTTCTGCTGTATTTTGCTCCTAATGTGTTTTTTTGTGTGTGTGTGTGTTTAGCAGGAGGGCTTAATTGTACTTTAGGGGCCCAAATGTTCAATATATAATTGGACATGGTTCGTAACATTTGGTTCTGGTAAAACCAGTATTGCTTTTTTACTTCTAAAAGCATCTCCAATTCTAAAATGTTAAATTTGGATATCAAATGTATATTTTGATAGTGTTATAGTGCCAAAATGTTATATTTTAGCAATTATGCTCTAATGATACATTTTATACAAAATGCTATTTTTTGATATAACTACTATTTTTTTTCAACTACCATTTACACCATTCATATTTGCATCGTTAATATTAGACACATTACAAGTCAAGTTGTAAACATTAGAAGGAAACTAAAATTAAACTTAATTACAAATAATCAAATATCTAAAATATCTAGTCAAAAAAGGACCAAAATATATATATGCGTGTGTATAAATTTATATATTTGATTATATTATTATATAAAAAAAAATTATATAATTTTTTTTTCCTTTTCAGAAATTTATATATATATTTGATTATATTATTACCAGCAAATCATTGCAGCCTCCCCAATCACCTCCATCTATATTCTCGTTCTCAACTCTAAGAACTTGCCCCTCTCTCTCTCTCTCTCTCTCTCTCTGCAACTGCAAACTACAAAATCTACAAGAATCAGAAGTTCAAAACCCATATATTTCAGTTTATCTATCTGTCTGCAAGAATCCAAGGTTGAAAACCTATTACCTATATTAAAACCCATATCGGCGTATCATTTCATATTGTTTAAAAAATAAAACCCATATCTTTCCGTTTCCATCGCCTGCTGTTCCAGTTCGGGTTCGCCGTTCGCAAGCTTCAGCTGTTGTCTCTCAACTCAGTCTACCAAGAAACATCAAGAAAGAAATTCACCGTCTTCATCAGAAGAATCCCAGGGATAGATCCAAACGGATCGTCGTCGAGGAAATTGCCAAAATTGGAAGCTTTTGCGCTGAAATGGACGAAGGAAGAGAGCAATTGAGGGCGAAGAAGTAGAGGTGAGAGAAGAAGAAAAAGTGGAGAAGCAGAGGGCACCGGTTTCTTCCATTGAAAAGAGAGATTTTGGCAGAGCAAGAGAGAGAGACGGCAGGCAACAAAAAAGGTAAATAGCTATTACTATTTGTTTTATTAGATTTGGCACAAAAAATAGCAAGGCAAATTTTGACAAGTGATATAACAAACCATTGGAAGGCTCAATTTTAACTCACCTGCTATATTTTGAATTGACAATCCATATAATAGGTGGGTTGGAAATGCTCTAACACAGGCAAAAAAGCAAAACACTCCCCTCAATTATCAAAAATCAACATTTTACTCCGCTAAACTATAAAAACAATCAAGTCAATATCATAACTATCAAAAACATGCAAATTACCACCCCACCACCCCACCCCCCCCCCCAATCAGTTCTGGCACCTTTCCGGCCAACAGTGACCATTGTAGCCCTCTTTCATTCTTTGTCTCCTCTCTCCACCTTCCATCACCTACCCCTCATCTCTCTCCATAAATATACAGACTCATACATATGTGTGTGTGTGTATAACACAATTTCATTTTATTTTTCTTATTTTATATATTTATTATTACTTATTTTCTTTGTGAATTTTTATGAATTAAATAAGAAAGAGCCAAGGAAAAAAGAAAAGAAAAAGAAATAGAAAAAAAATAAAGAAAAAAGAAATGGGGTAGAGGCTGCTGAGTGTGAGAGAACTGAGACCTCTGCTTCACTTTCTGTTGCCTTTATTCGTTCACGGGATAGCCGAAGCGATGACCATTCCGGTGCTCGTCGATGTCACCACCGGAGCTATCTGTCCCGGAAACTCCACCTCCACCAGCTCTTCTTGCCGCTAGACTCTATACCTCCTACTCAGCCTCCATCTCCTTCAACCCCAACCCCCAAAATCCCATTTTCCACTTCTACCCCCAACCAAGAGCTCTTTTTTTCATCCTATCCTTCCTCACATTGTCCACCATCTCCTCCATCTCCCTCTCGCTCTTCCTTTACCTTCTTCCTCACCAATATATCTTCTCTCATCCTACCATAAACCACCAAACCAAAATCCACTTCCAAACTCATCCCCTTCGCCGTTGCCCTCGTCATCGTTGCCGCCATTATCACCACTGTTGTCATGTTTCTGTACATTCGTCGTTAGAGACGACGGAGTTTCAGCGACGACAAAACCTACAAATCCGATAACAGTAGCAGATTGTTCCATTACAGTGCTCGATATGCTCCCAATGACATTCACAAGCAGCGAAGATCGCCTCCTAATAGCTCTGAGTTTCTTTATCTTGGTATAATTGTTGATTCTCTCAGTGGCATCGACGCTCATGTTGCTTCCAATAACGGAAATGCTAGTTACAGAAGTAGTGGCAGAGAAAATCAAATGAAACTAGACTCGCCAGAGCTGCACCTTCTTCCACCGCTTACCGCGCAACATTTGCCTCAGAATTTCGAAAATATCATATGGGTTCTGCTGTAATACCCCTATATTTTAAAAGAATTATTTAATTAAATTAATTATCTTTTTAAATGAATTTAATAGATTTATTTATTTTAAATTAATTATTTGTTTACTTGTTTATTCGATTTATTGGTACGATGATATGCTTGATTATTGATTGATTTGTTGGCGTTGATTTTTATTTCTATGGTATAACTTAGTTGTTAATTCTTATTTGATTATGTGCTACATGTATTTAGTTCGTTTAATATTAAATATTTATTTATTTAATTATTTGTTTAAATTTAATGGATTGGGCTTGGATTATTTGGATCAAAGGATTTGGGTCCTGGGTTGGAGAAGGAAGTTTTAAAGGATTTGGGATGGTTTAAAGGCCCGTGGATTTATGCATGAGTATATATATATATATATATATATATATATATATATATATATTATGCATATTAAATGGATTATATATATATAATTATATATTTATAATAAATATATATGTATAGGACTATATGCATATATATGGTAAGTATAGTTAAAAATGATTTATAAATATATATTACATAATATATATATATATATATATATATTTATATTTATATGTTTTATATATATTAATATAGTTAGAATCCTACATAGAATAGGATTTGAATTGGCAATATATTATTTATTTATTTATCTTTATGTGTCAAGAATATTAATATAACTAGAGTGCAACATGGAGGAGGATTTGAATTGACAATATATATTATTTATTTTTATTGCGTGAGGAATATATATAATATAATATATGTGTATATATATTTTATTTAAAAGTATTATTAGTTTTTATTTAGGTAACCATACTAGGAATAGGATTAGGGTATTAATGTGTATATTTATGCACACATAAGGTATATTGTTAAAAGGTTTTTCACGTTAGAAAAAAATAAGAGAAGCAGAGAAAAAGAAGAAGGGAAAGCGAACAACGAGAAGGCCAAATCAGATAAAGAGGACGTCATATTTGGAAGAGACAACCAAGGTTGAAGCGTCGGTTTCGTTTCGAAACCTTCAGGCAAGTTCTTTTCTAACTCTCCTCTTAGAACCCATAAGTTTATCACTTTGAGTATCAAAATCTATAGATTAAATTGGCATGTTAATCACTTAGACATAGGATAAATGCATGTGAAGAAATTGATTAGTAGAAAAGGAAGAATCCTTCTTCAAGTAGGAAACTTTCTCCAATTTCCGTTTTAGTAGTCTGTCTGTATCTCTTTCCTCGAGTGTTAAAACGGCTCAAATCCTTTGCAGTTGATTGGAAATTCGATTATCCACAATTTTGTATTTCACGAAAATTTCGTGAAACGGATGTTTACCTTGTCAAAACTGGGTTAGAAGATAGTACGAATTTTATATATATATATATCTTATCCCATACTTGTTTTAACCAATTTGGATAATTTGTATTGGTTGGGTGTTGACTAAATAATTCTTAATATTTATATTTAACGTGTTATTTGGACATTGCTAAATTGTGTAACCTACGTATTATATACGCCTACGTGTTATAATGTCACACATAAATAAATAAATATAACCTAATCAACTAATAAGTTGTTCATTGATATTTATCATGTTTATATATGTGATGTTGGTGTTGATGAAATCATAATAGGTTGTTTATTTAAATTAATTATATGCTTATAACTTGCATGGAGTGCCTATATATGATTTATTTCATAGTTAATTGTAAAGTTTGGTACATGGTTAAATTGAAGGCATGGATGAGTTGCTAAAGGTATAAATAAATTGTCTTGTTAATTGTATGAATAAAATACATACATGGGAAGTATGGATGAATTGCTAATTAATAGTATGGATAAAAAAAACATACTTTTGGAGGCATGGATGAGTTGCCAAGACATAAACAAATTGTCATTTAATAGGCATGGTTGATTTGCCAAAGTATAAATGTATTACTTGTAGATACATGGTTGAGTTGCTATCGTATAAATAAATATACTTCTAGAGGTATGGTTGATTTGCCAAAACATAAATAAATATTTGTGGAGGCATGGATGATTTGCCAAATTATAAATAAATTGCTAGGTAAGTTAGATAATTAAATATACATCTATGAATATTGTGTTTATAAGTTGCAGGTGATAAATATTCTTATATTATAATAAACTAATGTTTAATGGATAATATATTATTTTATAGTATTGATAAAATAATATTAATGAAGGCATGGATGAATTGCCAAAGTATAGATCTTTGTTATGTGAACTTTATAAATAAAATCATACATTGGTGGAAATTGGGATTTGGATTGAAGGAAAATATTTCTGGGATTATTATTTATTATTTAAATGGTTAAA